TGACCCCTCGTCTTTCTCTATTCACAAGCTGGTTCTTGGCACTCACACTTCCGATGATTTCCCCAACTTTCTTATGGTTGCTGATGCTGTGCTGCCGACTTCCGTCTCTGATGCCAAGATTGACACTAGTTGCAGTTCTGCGGATTCTGTGATTCCTAAGGTGAGACTTGGTTTGTGGGGTTTATTCAGTGCATGGTAAAATTACTGATCTAAAATGTTTTTTTGTTTGTTATAAGCGTTTTATCGAATTTTGAGCAAATTCTGTGACCATGAAGTTGAAAGTTCAAATTTTTGGTTTTGTTTTTCGCCGGAATTAGATGTTTGATGAAATTACTAGCTGAGATGTTGTTATACTCCGGTATTGATTTTTTATTCTTGGGTCATAAGCTGCGTCTGCAGCCTCGGGTCAGCAGTTATTTTATGATTCACGAGGTCAAAGTTTTATTGCTATTTTTTTAGGTTTCTTTGTGGGTAACGAGTGTTTGACAAAATCACTTGCTGAATGCTGTTTCTGAGTGTGCTTTCTTGGGCTATGAACGTTTAATGTTGTTTTTTTGTGCCCTGAGTCAAATTTTGGGCTGTGTTTTACTAGCTGAAATGTGACAAGACATGATGTGTTTTTGCATGATATGTAGTTTGAACCCCCCGTATTGTTTTTGATGGATTTTAAATATTAGCTATCAACTGTTACTTTTGTATTTGCGTTGAAATAGTCTATACATGTGCCTTACATACTGGTGATATATGCTTTCTTATTTTCAGTTTCCGATATAATTGATGACCTTGATTATTAAGTTATGAAATGGGTGTTGCAATAATTGAATGCTCCATATCCTTGTCATTTTTGGTTTAAAGAAATGTTTGCTGAACATGAGGTTTTCTGCTGAAATTTTGCATTAGCGTAACCTCTCCTCAATTATCATTTTTGTCGAGTATTCAATCCATTTCTGAATGAAAAAGAAAATTGTAGCTGACGCTTTCTTTTTTGGATTAATAGGTGGAAATTACACAGAAGATACGTGTTGATGGAGAGGTGAACAGAGCACGGTGTATGCCGCAAAATCCTGCTATTGTTGGTGCAAAGACAAGTGGCTGTGAGGTTTATGTGTTTGATTCTACCAAACAAGCGGAGAGGAAACAAAGGGATGGCTGTGATCCGGATTTAAGGTTAATTGGTCATGATAAAGAAGGGTATGGATTGTCGTGGAGTCCATTTAAACAGGGTTATCTTGTGAGTGGCTCACATGATAATAAAATATGTTTGTGGGATGTGTCTGCCAATGCTCAAGATAAAGTGCTTGGTGCATTGCAAGTTTATGAGGTAACCTCAGGACCTTTTCTATCCCCATTTTAATCGATAAAGTTAATCTTTGCAATCATGGTGTGTTAAAAGGTTCATTGTTGGAGTTGGAAATGCTTTGATAGGCCCATGAAAGTGTGGTTGAAGATGTGTCATGGCACTTGAAGAATGAAAATTTGTTTGGTTCTGTGGGGGATGATTGTCGATTAGTGATCTGGGACATGCGCACAAATCAAACCCAACATTCTGTTAAAGCTCACAAGAAAGAGGTGAAGCAATCTTGCCACGATTTAGTTTGTATGCTTGTTTTTCTTGTGTAAGCATGCTTTTGTATTATCTTTTCTATTCTAACCTTCAATCCTGACATTTGAGACCTTATTGGTCCTGGAAGTTGCTACTAGCCTACCAGAGAAATTTTTTTTTACTTGTCTTATGCTGCTATCTTTTACTTGAACTTTCCTTTCAATTTGTGTTCTATATTCACTAGCTTAAACATTTCGTTCAATTTATCCCATACTCATTTGCTTAAACTTTCTGTCTCTTATGCCATTGCTTGAAGAGGTTAATATAGGATTAGTATTAATTTATTTCTTGAATAGAGGAAGAATGGCTTGAATTTTGACTGATTAGAATATACCTGACAATTTAATTCATTGCTTGTAGAGGTGAATTTTGATTAATAATTATTTATTGCTCGAAGAGAGGAGCTTTGGCTGAAATTGTGACAAGATCTGCCTGACAGTGTTATCTGCACCTGTTTTTGCACATGTTTGTGGTGCATGTGCATTGCTGTACGTATATATGGAATCATGTCTTCAACTGATTGGTAGTGTTCTTCCAAATGAGCAGATGCCTACCCAAAATTGTCTTACCGTTTAGCTTTTAATTCAACTCAAAAAACAAAACAGAAACATGTCATCTTTTAACAAAGATGCAATGCCTGGTGATGCTATATCTGCAAGCTGGTTTTTATTCCGTGTCAATAATGTAGTTGTAGCTGAGCTGCCTGTTATCCTCAACAGAATGACAAATAAAAGTAGGTCTTGTTTTTGTTTTGGAATACCTGCCTGTCTACTTATTGTAATAGTAGTGACTTTCTTTTGGCAGCTTTGCTTTTGAAATCTTCTTTTTGATCTTGAAAAGTTCTCTTTCTCATAACATTTTTTTCTTGGTACCAGATTAACTATCTATCATTCAATCCATACAATGAATGGATTCTGGCCACAGCTTCTTCAGATGCAACTGTTGGTCTGTTTGATGTGCGGAAGCTGACTGTACCACTGCATGCTTTAAGTAGTCACACGTATGTTTTCTGCCTCTTGCATGATTTCGATTATAGTTGCTGACATAGCTGTTATTGTACTCAGAAAGGTATTTACCCTTTTGGAATGCATCTGTAAAACTGAACTGTCTTACAGCTTTGGGAATTGACTTTCTAATGTTTTAGCTGTGTTATACAAACGTGCTATTTCACTGGCATTCCCTCTGTTTACCAATTGGAGACACAAATGGTTATAAATAACATCCGAACCTTGTTGGTATCAAGAATGGTGAAACTTTCTGTGCTTGTAAATCAATGTGTCCATTAACCCCCCCTCCCTCTATTTTTTTTTTGATGAAGCCACTGGCCGTCTTATATTAATACCACAGTAAAATATGTGACCGTTGTTTAAGTTTTTGTTTATATAAAAAAAACAAGTGATGTTTTCTGGATGGGCCTGTATTCCGGCTGCTGGGTATGTGCTGGAATTTCTTCTGTATTTGTTGTTTATTCCTCATGACATTGACTACTTGTATATGTTACGATGTTTATTTCTGACAGAGAAGAGGTATTCCAAGTAGAATGGGATCCTAATCATGAAACAGTGTTAGCATCCTCCGCTGATGATAGAAGATTGAACATTTGGGATCTGAACAGGTATTTCCAACAGACGTTCATGAATATGTTCTAAGATGGAGTAATTTAGTGTTGATTTTTTTCTTTTCAAGTATGGTGGGGTTTTCTTTTGCTCCATCTCTCTCTCGTTTGTTTCTTCTGATTAATGTTCAGCTTGAGCCTTTGTTAAATTCGGTGGAAAGAGATGGGATGGGGTTTGGATGATCTCTTGTCCTTCTTCCCTCTATTAAATTTAAAATGAAGATTCACCCGAGTTGCTAGTTGACTGTAGCTTGATTATTAGCAATTGCTGCTGACTACAGTGTTTAGCAACTTCGATTGGTCAGTTGTGTCATCCCCAAATCACTGCATTTTCATCATCATGTGAATGCCTTAATTATCCTACATACTTTTAACAACGAAAGTCTAACTTTCTAGTTTTATCGATATAGGCTGGATGTGTTTTTAAAATATTATTCTTTTTGTTTCATAAAAAATATCCAAGTTCCCTGTTTATTTCAAGCCTGGATATCCCTTATTTCAATTCACGAATTTAGAACTAATGCGAACAAGATGAATGGTTACGAACCAGCTCTTGCTATGCGTTGACAGCACACACCAAAGATCGTGTTTCAACTTGTCTGACCACAAATTTTGATGCCTTCAGGATCGGCGAGGAGCAGTTGGAGTTAGATGCTGATGATGGCCCGCCAGAACTTCTTTTCTCTCATGGAGGTCACAAGGCAAAGATATCAGATTTTTCATGGAATAAAAATGAATCATGGGTCATCTCAAGTGTGGCTGATGACAATACCCTTCAAGTGTGGCAAATGGCTGAAAGTATTTATGGTGATGATGACATAGTGGCTCCTGATGAGCCTCCTCCAGCTGAAAAGTGAGCAAAAAGCCAATCTTTGTAGCTATAATTAGGCAACGAACGGTGATTTGTTTTTCCTTTTGCACCTAACATGATCCGCTTTTGTTAATTTCAACGTTTTATATGCAATTTCTGGAACTTTATGCCTAATACTTGTTGATTGGAGTTGAAAGCCATATGAATGTTGTGTTTCATGGGATAAATTTTTAGAATATCACTGATGTAACTGCTTCCAAAGCATTTATTTTGTCTATGCATCATTGTGCATGCGCGATGAGAATTGGAGTTATGAATTTTGAAATAGGATCATGCTTGGATACATTCCATTAGGTTATGATTCTCTGACTGAATTTGAGAAATGAATTTTATTCTTTTTAAGAAATTCAAGTAAAATATCTAAATATGGCAAGAAATTCTTAAAAGAAAAACTTTATGATGAAAAAAGTAAATAAAAATCTATTTCATTTTTAGTGATCAATTGAAATTCTCATAAAAAAATGAACCCAATGGACCATATTATTACAAGAGAGCAGGCAAGATTCTCTGCTAACCTGAATTCGTTAGCGAGGTACCTTGCGGAATTTAAGACTGCATGTGCTTGGCCAAAGCTAGGCCTACGTTCTGGTAAAATGCATGTGATCACGGATTTCTATTTTGAGAAAATCTTTTGAGAATTTACACATAACAAAAGGTGTCTTTTGACAAAAAAATCATGATTTCTTCATACAAGAATAAATAGGATCATTAAGTCCTCCACTGCGAATGGCGAGCCTCGCTTTTGTCTCCTCTGTACGTACCTTCCATTAGACTACTTGGGCTTTTGATCTCATGTTCAACGAGTCCACCTAGATCGAATCATCTTATAGATGGGATATGTGTTTCACTGAAACACAAAATTCATTCGGATGGTTTACTTTTGTAATACTAAACTTTGAATAAGATCATGCTTGGATATAAAGAACAAGATTGAATTAAGCTTTGTAAATATAAGTTCAGCTTCATAGAAAAATCACAGGTTGGTCTCTACAAATAAGTTCTACCAGCAAAAGATCCACCAAGTCTCCATTTTACGAAGCGTTTTTCAAACAATATCACAAACTAACCGAACCACCAACTAGGCAGCTACAGCAGATAAACGCTAAGCCAATACCTAGATGAAATGCATAAATAAAAACGGGAAAATAATTAAAACCTAACCAAACCCAACAAAGCATCTTGATGAAGCTGATGCTGCCTCGCAACATAAGTACTTTGGGGAAGCACATGCATCCTCACAGAAAAGGCTGACCTTGGTTTGGCAGTTTTTTCAGCTTAAACTTGCTCCACGATCCCCTTCTAACAGATAAAAACGCCACAATCAGTCACAAAATCCATGTTAGGTTAATTAGCTACTTGATCAATATGACTACAAGAAGACATCGACATTGTATTTCAGACCATTCAATACACCTTAAATTTACATGTATCTGGCAACTACCTTTTTCAAAGGTGGTAAATCATATAATAACACTTTTCTCCAGATTGGGATCATTTTTACAGGTAACATACAATGTGAATAAGATGACCTCTTGAGATGAAATGCGAACAAGTACCTTCTGCAAACTTCCATGGATGGTTCTCACTCATACCCCTTCAACATTTACTTCATTTGCTATATGCAATCAGAGTCTTTTAACAAAAACACACTTGCTCCACATGCTTTTTAGTTGCATATTAAACAAAATGCAACAAGTGCTTTAACTAATTTTCCACAGTTCATCCTCCAACAGTCTATAGTAATAAGGCAAACAAGTGTAAGAACGAGGTTTTTTGAAAACAAAGATCAAACCAATTATACTCAAGTTGCTTGTTAATCAATCTGCTCATCCCACATTCATGATTTAATTAAAACAAAATGATAACACTAAGTTTCACCTTTCTCTTATTTGTACTGGAAGAATTGCCATTTGTTGCTTCATTCCCAAGGCTACACCCAGATAAGCCTATCATTCCTGAATTCTGATACTCCATACACTGAAGATTCTCAAGCTCACAACTGCTAAACCCTTGCCCATTCACTGGTGCACCTTCTCCACCTTTGCTATCCAGCACAGGACGCTGACAATAAATCTGGCCATCACACTGTATGTTGCATGGATTCATCACAAGAGAACCAGGAACATTTGGATTGGCCAAATTCACATTATTGGCTGATTTCTGATATGGAAACGATCCAATTTCCCCTTCAATCCTCCCCCTAATGTCCACAAGTAAACACTTGAGTCTTGCAACCTCTGCCTCCAATGCAGCCTGTCCTTGCAGCCTCTTCAGTAACTGCTGGTTCAAAGCTCGCAAATGCTTAACTTCATCCTCCAAAGATGCAGCCTTTGCCTTCTTCCTCTCCCTGTACTTTCGGACAGCCTCCCTATTGCCTGACGATTGTTTCTTTGATTTTTTATCCGTGGACTCCGCAGTATCATCACTTACAACCTTGTCCTCGGCAGGGGGCAAAATTTTTGTATGCACATGATAGCAAGTGTGTGTGTGAGAATAGTCAGGACCAGGAGGATTGCATGTGTGTGTATGGGTACAAGCATGGGAGTCCTTCAGTAGCTCATCCAAGAAATCAAAAGAACAACTGCTTGGAATCTCACCGATATTTGGACTAGATAACAAATCTTGGTTTGAAAAATCTAACTCCCCATCGTCCATTGAAGCAGAAATTTACCAAACAAAAGAGAAGCAAACCCAAAATCCAGTGAAGAAAATATGAATTCGAAATTTTGATGCTGACCCGGATGATAATTTCACTAGAGTTCCACCCTTTAACAGAATTCAGCAACACCTAGATGACAAATTAGTGAGCACAAAAATGTACTCCTAAGCTGCAAATGAGGAATTTTTAAGCAAGCAAATCATCCACAACCCAAACACAAAATGCTAAAGTATCATAAATTCTACTAACTCAATCACGATCCAGATAACAATTCAAAGCAAAAGACATAACAATTCAAACAATCATTAAAAAAAAACAACAACAAAGAGAACACTTTACAATGACATGAAACTAAAACAGAGAACTTAAGACAATACTTCGATAAAATTAAGGTTTATGTGGCAATGACAGAAAGGTAGGGATAGAAATAAAAAGAACAGAATAAAGATAGAATCCATCAAAAACCATAATCATCAAAAGAAAATTGAAACCCTAACACTAGGTGGCATTTCCTCAGAAAGAATAAAAGTAACCCTAAAAAGAAGACTAATAAAGCTAAAGAAAGTGTGAATAAGCGTACCAGAGAAGAGGAATTTGGTTCTTATTCCATAAAAGCAAAGCTCTCCAACGAAGTCGAGAGAGATGGATTCTTAGGACTCCTTACAATTTTATAGGTAATTGAGGGACTAGTTTGTAAATTAAAAAATATTGAGAAATTGCATGGTGGATTTTGCTTTATTGAATGAAGACATTTCTTTGTGGGCCATACTAGCTGAGAATTTTCTAAGTTACTACCGTCCACTTTTTAAATTCAGTTTTTCAGATCATGTAGAGGGCCCACAAGGGCTTCAGTCATGGGCCCACAAGTATGGATATGTTTTAATTGTTGGTGATTTTATTGTATTTAGTTATTCTAATTTTGGCGTAGCTAAACAAATTACATTTTAGATTTATTTTCTTATATATTATTATTTGATAAATTTTAAAGTTATTAAAATTTTATATAGTTATTAATTTTAAAATTTTTAAAATTAATTAAAATACATATAAGCTAATTTGGATATCCATATTAATATAAAAAAACTTAGTTATTTTCCTAAAATTTATTTATAAGAAGACACAACAAAATCTAATAAAAATATTTAATTTTAATTTTTTTATTTCTAATTTATTTTTTTCAGTATATTTATCTATTTTTTTTTAAAATAAATAAAATGTTATAAATTATTCTATTTGTATCATATATTTTTTTAATCTAGTTTTCAAGTTGCATGCCGTCTATTCCATCATGCAAATTAATTCATAACAAAACATATCATGATTTTAATGATTTGGTATTGAAGTCGAACCTATTCTATTCTTCAAATAAGTAAATAAAATAATAAAAATCAAATTTATTTGAAAAAAAAAAAGAGAAATTCTAACTAGAAAAGATATATAATCACTTATTAATTGAATCATTATAATGAGCAACTTAGCATATAAGATTTAAAATTTATCTCGCTAGTTTAACATCTAAAATTGTGGGACCTCATTTAGCAATCCAATGAATATTTGTTCATGGTAATAAAACCCTTCTAAGAGTAAGGTTGTGCTCCTAATAGATTTATCTTGTCAATTTTTTTAAACTTAAAATGATATTATTTTAAATAAAAAATTTAAATTTTTTCTTGTTCGATTCAAGATTGGTCTTGGATCTCGAGTTGGTTAGCCTAGTTGAGAAATCAAGAAAAAAAAAAGATTGAGTGTTTTACAAACCACTACATCTTCAATGTGAATGAGATATTCTATTTGGTTGCAACATTACTTGTACAATTTATTATAATCTTTATAAGAATAGAACTAGTCTCTTATAATTAATTACATAGCTATAATTAAGGGTCAATGCTTCTAATAATGGTAAGATTACATTATCATCAAGATAATTTGTAATTATATCTTTGAAAAATTCCTTGACAGTAACACTCCCACATGTGATTTGATTGCATGTGAAGCTTGATATAAAAAGAACTTAAAGAGAGAGCGAGTTTTGCTTGATATAAAAAGAACTTAAAGAGAGAGCGAGGAAAACTCTTGGTTAAGATATCAACAACTTAAAGATGAGAAGGCACATATCAATTGTAAATTCTATTGGTGAGTGTAAGTTTGCGCAAAAAGTGATATTCTAATTCAACATGCTTGGTGTGTTTATGAGTAATTGGATTAGAGCTCATGAATATGATACTCTTGTTATCACATAAAAAGAGAGGTGAGTTAGAAATAAAAACCCTAAGATATCGCAATAAATGAGTAAGCCAAAGGAGTTTAATAGCAGTATGTATGAGTGCAAAATATTCAGAATCATAGCTAGAACGGGAGATGGTTAGTTTTTAGCACTCTAAAAAACTAAATTACCCGAAAGTTGAATGATGAGTGTCGGGACAACTAGCATTGTCAGCATTAGAGGAGACAATGAGAGTTGCAGATGTGGTAGAACACTGAAAACTGATGTCAAAATAAAGACTGCTTTTAATATAACGAAGAATGAGTTTGACGACTTAAAAATGGTTAGTAGTAGGAGCATGTAAAAATCAATTGACAGAGTTAAAAACATGAGAGATCTGGTTGCATGATAGTGAGATATTAAAAAGCATTAATGAGAAACCTATATAAGGTGAGAACAAAAAATAAAGGACCATTGTAGAGAGATATTAAGAGACAATTATATGTGTAGCAACAAATTTGTTGTCAAGCATTTGAGCTTGACTCAAGATATCATGTATATATTTGAGCTAATCAGGAAAAAATCCATCACTAATAGGTGTGGCTTTAAGTTCAAGAAAGTAGCTGAGAGAGTCCAAATCTTTAATAACAAACTCAAAATGAAGTTTATGAGTGAAACTATCAAGAGACATGTTGTTGCCAATAATAAAAATGTCGTCAACATAAAGAAAGAAAGAAATAATAGCAAAGTGCTTATGAAAAACAAATAAAGAGGTGTTAGCATGACTGCAAATGAACCCATTTCAGATAAGAAAGGAGTTGAACTAGTGAAATCATGCATAAGGTGTTTACTTGAGACGATACATGACTTTCTTGAGATGATAAACATGATAAAAAGACAAGGATTGATATAGCTAAGAGGCTACTCCGTATAGATATTTTCATTGAAAATGCCATTAAGGAAGTTATTTTTGATTTTAAATTGATGAAATAGCCACTAGTAGGTGACAACAAGAGAAAGAATGACAAGGATAGTAGTAGCCTTTATAACAAGACTAAAGGTATTAGTGTAATCAAGACCAAGTGTTTGCGTATAACACTTTGTGAAATGACATGTATTAAATTTGTTAATAGAGCTATCAAAATAATATTTGATTCGGAACACCCATTTAAAGCCCACAATATTGGTGTTGGTACCACGATGAACCAAAACCCAAGTTTGAATATTCTATAGAGCTCATATTTCTTCATTAGTGATAGCAATCTAGGTTGGATTCTTAGTAGTAGATTTGAACCTTTTAGGGTCAATGGAGGCTAATAGAGCTGTAATAAGATTGGAAGAGCATAAGGTAGTAAAATTTACATGTTGATGAATTAAAAGTATTAGCCTTAACATATGTAACTATTGAACGAGAATTGAGCATATTTGAATAAAAAGATAATTACTCTGTTGAAAAGTTAGTTGATACCACCTGAGGATGTGAATTAGATGCTGAAGTGGATGAGGAGCAACCTACAAGGGGTTCAATGACTTGCAAAGACTCATTAGATGGATAAGTAAAAATAACACATGGATTATTAAAGAACTGAGTAATTGTGAAACTTAAGAGGTAGAAATGTAAGTGCAATTGAAGAAACACTCGGTTATAAATAAGTAGAATATTCTATAAAGGGTGAGGCCCGTGAGGGGCTTAGCTTGAGAGGTAGAGTTAGACGAAAAATGTCGTTCATCAAATTATGCAAGACAAGTAATGTAGATTTTATAAGTAAAAGGATCTAGGCAACCAAAAGCTTTTATGAAATGAATAATAACCTAGAAAAATACAAGGAACACCATGAGGTGAGAATTTGTGAGCCATATAATAATGTAAATAAGGATATACTCAACAATTAAAATGATGAATAGTAGTATAATTGAGAGATCTATAAAATAAAATTTCAAAAGCTAACTTAGCATAAAATAGAGAAATAGGCAAGCGATCGATGATGCAAGTCAGCAATGCTAAAAGCATTAACCTAGAATTGAGTTGAGAGATGAGAGTGAAAAAGAAAGGCAAAGCTAATTTCAGTTAGATGATGATGTTTATGTCCAACACAACTATTTTGGGTAGGTATACAGGGATAAGAAAATTAATGAGGAATGCTAGATGAACAAAGATAAGGTTTACAATGGGAGTTGATGAATTTCCCGCCACCATCACTTCGAAAAACTTTGAGACAAGTAATGAATTGTGTTTTCATAAATTAATAACATTTTAGGAAACTCTAAAAGAAGTGAGATTTGAGTTTTAATGGATAAAACCAAGTGAAGTGAGAATAGTTTTCAAAGAACAACATATAATAGGTAAATCTAGAGTTGGATTTTACGAGAAAGAGCCCCAATATATCACAACGAACAAGATCTAAAATGTTAGAGGATCGGCATTCATTACTAAGATATGGTAGACGACAACTTTTTGCAAGTTGACAGGTGCTGCATAAATAAGGCGAAGGTAGGAGAAAGATGGCCTTTTTTATTTAAAGATGAAATAAAAGAATTGTTTACATGTCCTCTGCAAGAATGGCATAAGTCATAGGAAGCATGTGACAGTTTATTTTTTAGGGTGGAGATAAAAGCCGATGTTCCTCGCGTTAGCACATACAAGCCGCCAAGCATATTACCGGTTGCTACTACTCTTCTTGTTTGATGATTCTAAACAAAAAAACAATCATTAAGAAAGATAACAACCAAAGGGAAATCAGATGTCAATTTGCTAATGGAAAGTAGGTTTTTGGTAAGATGTGGAGCAAACAAGACACCTAATAAATGAATATATGGATTGGGAGACAAACAACCTTTCGTTAACGATGTACCATTGCCCACAATTAGAGAGTCCTTACCATTATATGATTTTGCGTGATCCAAAATAGAGGGATCATTAAACACATGAGCTAAAGCCCCCATGTTCAGGGACCAATCAACTCTTTCCGAGTTATGAAGTGAGCAAGAATCATTGAAAGCCTCAGCAATATGAGCGGTTGAAGCATGAGAATAGTGCTGAGGACACTGGTCTGTAAAGTGTGCATCAGCGCAATATATATGGCAACGTGGAGGGCGACGTGCTTGGCCATAATTGCGTCCTTGGTTGAGTGCTGATGACGGGAGAACTATCCAGAGGTGCGAGGTTGCTGTCCAGGATTGGTCCTCCAGTGTGGTTGATTCCTTGGCTGCCAGTTGCGACCTGTGATAGTGAAGGCAGCAACAACAGTAGGTGACGCAAGATTTTTGGAATAATTCAAAGCTCTTGGCTCTGGAGACAAGGTCAACAAATGATGGAAGCGGAGCGAGGGCCATCTGGGCAGAAGAGAGACTTGAAAATTTAGCACCAAATCCACAAAGAAACCAGTGCACTTTGTCGGTATTGTCAACTAGACGTCCAGTGGTGTGTAGCTCGTCGCAGAATCCCTTGAAGACACGGGCAATGTCCATGACAGACCTGGTGGCTCTCTTCATCGACTGCAATTCATCCTTGAGGTGGATTTCTCGTGTCTTATACTCGTGATTAAAGGTTGTTTCCAAAGCAAGCCAGACGTCATGAGCGGTGGAGAGTCCAACAATATCAGCCAATGCTTCTTCAGTTAGGAAGGATCGGAGGAGGCAAAGCAAGCGTTGATCGATTGCTTTCCAGGCCAAATATTTGTCATTTGGTGTTTGAGAGTTGGGAGAATCAAATTTTGGAGGTGGAACAATGGAACCATCAACATGACCGACAAGGTCCTGGCTCTCAATGAGGGGAAGGATTTGACTATGCCAAATGAGGTAATTAGCAGAAGATAATTTGACAATGATCATATGAATAAGGGTAAAGGGTGGTGAAGGGCTGAGGGGCAGAAGGGTTTTTGGTGGCCATTTGAGAGAAGAAGAAAGGATCGAAGGCAGGTTAATCCAGAAGCTCTGATACCATGAGTGTTTTACAAACCACGTCTTCACCTTAAATGTGGGTGAGATATTCTATTTATAGTTGCAGAATTACATGTACAATTAATTGTAATCTTTACAAGAATGAAAATGATCTCCTAGAATCAATTACATATCTATGATCAAGGGTCAATGCTTCTAACAACAATAAGGCTACAGTTTCTTCTCCATACCCAACAGCTCAGTACTTAGCCGAAGCTGACATATTGCCTTGCCCTTTACAAAACCATTCTAAAACTGTCACCGGAATCTGTCTTTGTTGTCTATGTAAATAAATTTGCTTCAGTATCCAAGACTCTTGCCTATCTATACCGATCTTTCCTGTCATCGAAATGTGAATCATATGCTTTTCTGTTCATTAATGTTTTCAGTAGGATCTGCATTACAATGATAATTTAATGCAACACAAGCTTCCATAGGTTGAAATCATTGTAATCAAACCATGCAGCAACTATCATTTACGCAAAACGTTTGCATCCTAGCACAGTAATTCCGCTGAATAATAAATCAAGATGTTCACAGGTTATAGACAGATTTTCGTTCTTTCTTTCTTAACTTTTCTTTCTGAGAATCCAGATAGTTAAATTCTCATGAATTCTTGTTGCGTTGATCATTGTTTTTCAGACTTTGATTCAGACAGAGCAAGTGCAATTGTGTGTTTGAAATATTGCAATCTTTATGTGCTTTTCCTGTAGCCTCAAAGATTCAAAAACAAGCTCATGATAGGCTTAGAGCTTAATCCTCTCTCACTGTCAACCCAAACAACGATTTCACAAATCTGCATCTACAAAGCACCTCACTGCTCAGGGTGCGGTGCAAACACTTTATCCCTTCACTGTACAAATACAACAGTACAAACTACAAGTACAGAATTTTGAGGCAAATTTGGCTTTTAAAGTTTCAAAATTATTGAATTGAGTGCAAAGTCAGCTAATTGAAGCTTGATGATCGGCTCCATCTTTCTTTAACATATTCCTCGAGAGAGAGATTGTTTACTTGCTCCAAACTACTAAATGACGTGGAATCATCATCAACATCAAGCAACGCAAGACTTAAATGTAACTCTGCACTCGAGCTTGGATAAACTTCATCATCATTATCCTGGTTTTCTGTATCCAGTGGATCCTTATTTTGAGGATTCACCCACTCTTCCAATTCTTTATCTCCTCTTAGGAGCTTCAGTATCTGTAAGAAAAAGAAAAGTTAAGAAATCTAATCTGACAACCAAATTATATTTCCTGAGAACCCGGCCGCAGACTTGAACGGGTAGTTTTGTACCTCACTCATTTGAGGTCGTAGCCTAGATGCTCGTGTAATGCAGTGTGTTGCTGCAAGAACCATTCTCTGCATTTGAACCTCATCAAAGTTTCCATTCAAGTTCGGATCCACTAAGCCTTTTGCATCCCCACTCTCTAATATTGGTTTTGCCTGAAACTCACAGAACTGATTGTTACTAATACATGTCATTAGTGGCAGTATATGTTGTAGTTGTGGAGAGAGCTCTTACCCACATGACCAAGCTCTCTTGGCCCTTGGTGCTCTCGGAACTAATTGGTCTCCTTCCAGATAGCAATTCAAGTAGAACTACGCCAAAAGCATAGACATCAATTTTGACGCTGACTTTCCCATACATGAAATATTCAGGAGCAAGATACCCAAATGTTCCAACAACTTCGCCTTGCGTCACAAATGACGTAGTTGTCGGTGCCCATATTGCCATACCAAAATCAGATAACTGTCAAATAGAATAAAAATGAGTTATGTCATAGTTTTGTAATAGTTTCCATTTTTTACCACCGACAATGGTCTGGGCAGATCGGAGTACCTGTGGTTCAAATCCATCTGAAAGAAGAATGTTTGAAGACTTGATATCTCTATGAATAACAGGCCGAGAACATTCGTTGTGCAGGTAGTATAGGGCTTCTGCAATTTTAACTGCTATATCGAATCGAACTTCCCATGACAAAGGAGATTTTTCTTTGCTCTTTCCTACACATGTCATTTGAATATCATATCAGAATTGTTTCTGTCAAGCTTCACCTGATAAACATGTACAGGTCAATACAGGCTTACCATGTAGGTTTTCCTCTAAGCTTCCTTTAGAAAAAAAAACATAGACAGAAATGAGAACGGTATCTTTGATGCAGAACCCAAGAAGAGGAGTGATGTGCTTGTGGTTCAATGAGGAGATGATTGCAATTTCATGAGCAAAATCCTTCATTGCTTCCTGAGATGACTTCTGAACCTTCACCGCCACTGGCTTGCCATCTGGAAGAACCCCCTTGTATACACGGTTGCATCCTCCTTTCCCAGACAAGTTTTCTGTCAAGCAAGATCAGAAATTTATCATGAGAACATTCTAGAAGAGAAAAAAAATCAGTTAGTCTATCTCATGTGATTGATTCATGGTAAAAACCTGAAGAAAAACTCGAAGTTGCGCCTTTCAGAACCTCGTAGCTGAACCATTTGCAACTGGATAAGCTTGCTTTCAGCAGAACATCCAGGCCATTTTCTAGTTCAGCCAGTGTAGAAGAACTACTCTTATTGATCTCCTCCAAGATTTTACTTTTCTCTCTTTCTTCAAAATTTGAAATTCGAGGATTTTGTGGAGAGGAACGATCTGGTAAAGCCATTGCCCACTGTACTACAGATAGTTGCCGGACATGCAAGTTCTCTAGAATAGCTGAATTCGCTCTCCGAAGTAGGGGCCAACCAGGTCTCTGATCCAAAATATCTCCAGCAAAAAGAGAATTTGATCTCTTCTTACGTACGCTAACAATGCTGCAAACTTCATCCTTTGAGTCTTCACTCTCATATCTTGATAGCAGTTCGAAACTAGATATTTCAGTATCTGCCTCAGAATCGCCGAATTCAGACTGGGTTCCTCTAAAAGTGCTGAAATTTTCATTTATTTTAAAACTTGGTTTTGGATCACCGCCGAGACCTGACATAATCGAAATCAACATTAATTATTATCTTCTTAGGATCTATTAAACGGATTTTACTCTTAGAACACAGGCACCAAACCTGGTAGTTGATTGTTGTTACACCTTCTAAACACAATTTTTCCATTGTAGATGGCCAAAACATCTGTGGTTGGACGCAGTCGCTTAGCGCAATACCTAGCGGTAGAAGCCCAACCCCTGAAAATGAAATCTGTTTAGACTAATCAGAAAAGAAACATTAAACTATGATTAATGCAGAGTTTGAATTTCTACCAGCCCCTACCTTAGAGCACCCAGATTACTGATCCCCACAACTATGGCTACAGCAGCATGGTTCTTTGCCTCTCTAACCAGAGTCCTTCTGACCGATATCCCTTTGGCTGTATGACCAGTAAGGCCTACCTGGAACCACAGAGCAAAAAATCATTTTCAAACTGCAAATTTTGCTTTTCAAATGGGGGGCCAAAAACCAAAAAGAAAAAAAAAAGCGCTACAAGGCTTTATGATTGCAGACCTTCTTCATGGAACATAGGCCATCGTAGACTTCTAAATAACTATCCAACAAAGGCTTGTCTCTCAAAGCATGGCCTGCATCAACAGCTCATGTATCATTAACAAAAAAAGAAAAAGAAAAAAAAGGGAGAAATCATGCAAGACTTAATAAACTCATTGAATAAAAAATTAAAGAAAAAAACTGACTGGACTGTTCAAGACATTACCTGAATTTCCACAAACGTGAACAGCAATAACACAATCACCAGGTTCAGCAACCTTTACAATAGCCCAGCTAAGCAGTTCTCTGCTCTGGCTATCTATTCTTATCCCGACTAAAACATTCCTCTTCTCAATAGCCTTAGCTTCCTCCTCAACTGTCATTTTCTCTTTTATTCTTGATCGCTCACTTCCACAACATCAAAGCATCTAGATACTCTGTTCATCCTAGAATTTGCAGAAACTCTGCAAATTTATTCTCTTTAACTCCCTTCCAACTTCTTGTAACAATCATTCGAGTCTCTGCAACACAACAGAATTTACTTTAATCATGAGGTAGAATAAGAAACTCGGATCGTACCCCACCACCATATTAGGCACGTATAGCTACCGCATGTGAATTATAAATGCTACCCATTCACAAATTCTCTTGAATAATCCAAACTCAAAATAAAAATAAAAATAAAAATAAAAATAAAAATAAAAATAAAAATAAAAATCTCAGATACATCAGTACGCATGCTAACCTACCGTGAGTTAAGACTACAACATAAATACCCCAAAAAGATCTTGAAAATACATTTAAAAAAAAATGCTGAATCATGCATAAGATAAACAAGAGAAGACAACAAAATAGATGTACCTAAATATATCTGTAGCCATTTGTTTTTCAAGACCAACATAGAATTTAAAATGAAAATGCCGCCAAATATCATCACCCTCTTAGTTAATGAAATTTAAGAGACTTGTGGAATTTTTTTTGATAAATTAAACACGAGTGCTTTGACGACTATCAAGATTAGTTAAACAAGTGGGTTAATTTATTAAAGAAAAGGGAAAAAGCAAGTAAAGAACAAAAATGGAAAAATGGAATACGGTGAAGAAAGTGTCGGCAAGAAAAGGGAATTCCCGGTAAAAGTGGTCAGGAAGATCTATGTGCTTAATGAAAAATTAAAAAAAATAAAATAAAATACGGGAAGGAAGTGTTGCTCCTTCTAAAAAACAAACAAAAAATAATTTATATGCACACTAATCATTTTTTATTTAAAGGTGGTTAGAAAACCGGAAAAATTTCGCGGGAAACCCATGATATCCGGTTGTTGCAGGGGACAATGCAAGGTTCTATAACCACCGGCTGTCTCGAGTCTTGAGGTAATCTAACCACATGTTTGAGCTATACTAGGACTTCGTTTTTTCCAAGCACATGAGATTTATAATCTCTTGCCAAAACTTGTAATCCGGGATTATGTATTTTTTCCAAATGGCAAGAGAATTCGTGCAAAAAAAAAAATATTTTCTTTGTAAATTGTAATTTTTCCTCAACGTATCTTTTCCTTCATCTAAATTATGTATTTATATATACTACTTGTCATCCAAATCAAGTATTTTTTCGTTCATGAAAAAGAAAAGAGAAGTTGTGGGGTTAAATCATAGAGTAAAATTGTCACGAATCTCTTATTTCAATAGACAATACTCTGTTTTTTACCCAATTACAGAGGTAAAGGTAGTTAATGGGGTAGCAAAAAACTAGCTCAAAGGTCATTTTTTCTCCCAAAAAAACATGGATCAAGCCTTCAATGAACAACCATTGTGGTTGATAATTCACAACATAAACGTGGTTGCTTGAGGAAATCTTCAAAGCATCCATTCCAGACCAAAATGGGGTTGGTCATCGTATCACTATCAAGCATGTTGAAGTCATTTACAATCATTACATGTAAATTACGTGGCCAAGTTTGCAATATCCTGTTCCACGTGATAATGGAATATAAATGCTTTAAGCGAATCTCACG